AGAATGGAAAGCTCAAATGGTCTCTACAATCGTTGAGTCACACTTCAAGTGGATAATTCGAGAATTCAATGGCGAAGGTAGGGAAATTGATGGTGAATTATCTCTGAATGTAGCTCGAAGAATTCTGATTTCACAGCGCACTGGAAAGTCCATTAACTCCCGTCAATATTGAGGAAACAATAACAATAAGAATTCCTTCTAAAGTCCTCGGGGATGATTAGGACTCACCCCTAGACGCTCATCTCCCCTTAATCCCCATGAATGCATCCGAGAGACGGTCCAAAAACCTCGTGGAACTTTAAGACCATTCAAACTCTGTCTGATAAGACATCGGTATCCAACCAGAAAGCTTCTCAGTGCTATCAGCTTTCTCGAAACAGCCGGGAGCTTTGAAAAAGAAAAGAATCAACTGACTAATCTGTCCACGGTATCGGTTTCAGCCCGACGACCAGAGAGACCTCACAACTTTGCCGAATATCCGAAAAAGCCCTTACCACGCACTAGTTGAGGAAAATTTCAGTCCCCACCTCCCCAAAATGAAACAAAAATACGTAAAGCCCTCGTCTCACGTTTATTCTCCCTCGTAACGACTGAAATGACTCTGAAGTAGCCGGAGGGTGCACAACGGGGGTGTGAATATTCGCCTGAAGCTGCCGGAAGCCGTCCCCAAACTGCAAGACCCGTAGAAAATCTGCTGGGGCTCGGAAAATGGAAAAAAAGCACCGAGCTTTCGGTGAATTTCGACAAGCGGCCATGGGGCAAATGATGATTTTCATCCCTCTCTACATCAGAGAAAAGCTCATCCCCCTCTTCCATCCCTCCACTGTCCATAGAATACCGTGCGCTGCAATTTTTTTCAAGGGCCCATCTGTCAAAGCTGAAAAAAAAAAGCTCACCCCTGAAATATTAAATGTGCAATTACCAAGATCCATTCATCGTGATGCAACGGTTGCAGACACACATACGAGGATGTGACACGCATCAGTCGACTGGTGTTTTTTCACTTTACTTTTTGCATTCTCGCTTTACTCTGGACCCAGCAAGCTCAGCCTTCAATGCGATGATAAAGAAAAAACGAGGAGTGAAAAAAGAGTGGAGGAAAAAAGAGTAGAGCTCGTATGGAAAAGATGAAAAGCTTTTGAAAGACGGTTCGTGTCCCGACGAAAATAAAAGGGGTGGGTAGAGGGGTGGCCCATTGTTTTGCTGTGATATAGGAGGGGGGGGGGGTCCTCCATTTCGAAACCTCCTAATGGTTCTAATGCCGAGGTGAGTTTTTTCTGGAAGAAAATGCCGAGGGATGCAGATTATTTTCCAAGAGCTTTTAAGGGCTCCGAGATTTTACTGGCAATCATAAGGATTTTCACCGCCAGATGCATCATTTGGCTAACGAGAGGCATCAAGGAGTATTTCACAACCTTGTGCTTGCTGAATATCTCGGCTGAGAGCTTTTTGAGCTTTTTCGAGTTTTTTTTTTCGACATTAAATCGGACGACGATGAAAATTTCCACTGGTGCCTATCGTCTTCAAACTTCATTGAGACCTCAACATACCGAATCACCCTCATTCTATCTCATAAACCCGAGGGAGAAAAAAAGCTCTAGCCACAAAAAAAAAAGAGCCACGAATATCTCATCAGATAACCCCCGAGTATTGGTTTTCCATCGCGTCAGGATGTGCAACCAACACATTCCCCTCCAGTGAAATCAGCCATTTTGATGCTGCATGATGGCGGAGCCACCACCCCATCGTGAGCTTTATGGGTGCCGTTCCATCACACACCCGCGAAGAGCTTTGGCTTATCTCAATGTAGCAACATATCTGGGACTTCCGGTGGCAACGGTTTGCATTCATCCTCATTCCCCCCTCATCGGTACTTTGTCCTATCCCGACTTTATCTCAATGAGTCATCGAGCTTGCGGTGATATATTTTTTTTTCTTTACTGCTTGAATCATTGGAGTCACCTCGGATAATTAATTCCTGAGTAAAAGTTGTTTAATAGCTCACAGTGAATTTCAGGGGTTGATGGAGAAAGTCGTGAAGGTTTAAGCTTCGATTTATTGTCCTATCAATCCTGTCACACTTGCGTACATCAAGCTTTTGGTTTCAGTCGGGTGGCATTCTCCTCGGTTCTGGGGTTGGGGTGAAAATTATTGGTGAGGTTATTGTGGTCGCTTTGTGGATGGGTTATTTGGGGGATGCTTAATCGGCTGGGACGACGATAACACTTACCAGTCGAAATTAATAGGCGGAATCGTTGCTTTAAAAGCTCGTGATGACCTAGTGGTAGGGGTTTTAGTTTGTTCGGGCTGGATGATCTAGGGGAAAATGTCGTGTCTGGTCGGACAAGTTAAAAGTTAAATTGTGGATGGTGTAGTGGATTTTTGAGCGATGATTTCGTTGGTATGGGAGAAGCACATCTACTCTAGTGTCAGTGCAAAATGTCTTGTTGGTGGTGAAAGACTCCAGAGAGTCAATTTTCTCGGATAAGGTGAAAAGTGCCAGGGTGGTTAACACTTTGAGGCATGTACCACCAAGAAAAATACCACCATCCAGTGTATGTGGAGATAGAGCTCTTTCTCAACTCAACTTTGGTTCTCATGGAGTGATGTCATTCTCCTGGGAGTGTTTCACTGTCGACCAGAAGTCTACCAAGCGTACCACGGATCGTTGACTTCTCCCTGTGGACTCAACCGAGTGACGAACCGCTACCATATAGTTTATCAAGAATCAACCGTCTAGTTGTTTTTTCTCATCGGAGCTATCGGTGGATTTTTTAGATTACGAGAAAATAAACGTGTCCTCCGTCCCAGATTATTAATCAGAAAGATTATACTCTCTAAAAATTACCCCTGACATTTCACGAGGTCAACTGGAATAATTTAAGTGAAATGATTATTGTCCTCGGAATTTCAGAATCCAAGAGTCGTCCAACGGTGAGAAATGAGTGTGACTGATTTTAGGCTTCAACTATCGAGAGTTTCGATTCGATTCGATATAAATGTCCATCTCCATTTTATGATACACTGTTACAACCTCTCAGCTGATACAATTTGTACTACCTCTATCGGTTAAATAAGATAGAACTACCGTAAAAACAGAGTTATCGTAATTTTTTTTTGTTTTTTGAGCTCCTCTCGCTTGTTCTAATAACACGAGTGAACCTCACTCGCCTCAAGTGTCCAATGGACATGAGAAAATAAAACCGGAAGCACTTGGCTATCGGATCTCGCTCCAGTGAAATGAAAACAAATCATGCGAAGATGGGGATGCCGTAGGTGTGGGAGAATGAAAAAACAAAAAGTAACCGATCCTCCACTACCTGTGGGAGTTGGGCGGTGGGTCGAAAAGGGGTTAAGGTAGAGAAGGGGTGGAGGGGAAGGGGGCGGGGAGGGTATGGAGGAGCTTGAGGTATACACTGGAAACAACCCTTGGGGAACCGGCAGCTCGTTACGTGAGACGTGCAATTTTTTTTTTCTCTCTCTCTTCTCATCCTCGTTTTTTTTTTTTCACCCTCTCTTTTTCGAGCACACGAGAAGGGGTCTCTGAATAATGTCTCGTATGTATGTACGCCGTGCTCAGTAACAAGTGGGTATTATACGGTCTCACGTGACGCACCAAACTGAAGAAGTTGGAACGCCACTGGCGATAATTTTTTTTTTTCTTCTCTCTCTCATCTTTTTTACGTACCCTCCGAGTTGTGAAGTTTTTGAGTTTTTCTCTTATAAAAAATGGTCGAGTTTCTTTTCGTAATTTGTTTCTGTTCTAGCGAGGAATATAATAAAGTTAGAGTGGAATGGGAATGACGAAATGGAAGAGACCGAGATATTTCAGGAATTTCTCTTTTTTTTTCGTCCAGAAAAATTGTGAGAAAAAAAAATGGAAAAAATTCTAAATGAGAAAATGATTATTTTCTCTTCTGCCCGGAATAATTTCTAGCTGGAAAATTTTTCATCTCACGGAATGCCGAATAATTAGTACGCGCAAGAATTCCCCATTAGAAATAATTTTCAAACAGTGGGGTGGCAAGAGAGGGGGGGGATAAAAATAGAGATCGTCTTAATTAAAAAAATTTTTCCCAGTCTTCGTGGCAGTCTTGGAAGTTATCCTCGCGTGTAAATCGCAACGATGGAAGAGAGAAGATGAGGTTGATGTTAGAGTCACATTCATCGAGGCAGAAAAAAGTTCCTCCCGGCGCTATCTACCTTGCTGTGTATTTTTTCGCCGTTTCTCATTTTTTACCATTGCAATTCCGTATTACTTTTTCAGAGACGAGTCTCATAGGGCCATCCAGTCGTCGCTGGTGCGCTATTTTATGAAAATTGCAGAGGACCGACAATATGTGAGGCGCCCTACAACCGACTGGACTCGAGTGATTAATGGCTCATTCAATTTTTTAAGCTATTGTCTGTTTATTTATTGATCACGTGCATCTGGTGATGTATTTAAAAGCACTTCTGGGAGCTGAGGCTCGAGATCGATGCGAAATTCTCGGCATAAATATCTCGGGCTATGGGAATACGCCAAATGTACTTTTCTTTCTACCAATTTATTTATTTTTCTCCCCCAGAATTAAATCCCAGATTTTCTGTCGGTGAAAAATTATTTTTCATTCAATTGAAAATGCTGGAAATGCCGCCAGAAATATCTCGTAATTGCCTATTTTTCAGGCAATATTGAGGGTCTACGACGGAGAATGCTGAATTAAATCTGTTGTGTTTAATGAGGCTGGAATTTTTTTTTTTTCTCTACCCCTTCCATTTCCCAGTTGAATCACGTCACGACAAGGCGTGTGTGTGAAATTCCCCAGTTAAATGCAGGACATTATTAATTTTGGAATTCGGGACACGTGGTATGTCACGTCTGTGCGTTTCCGGGTTACCGGAAATTCTATCTAGGAATACAAAGTGCGATAACGAGGTTTGCTTGTACATAATTTCTTTTGTCGTCCGGGGGCCATTAGCTAGTGCATTGTCATGATTTTTTGGTCATTGTTACTCACCTTTGGATGTGTTCTCCTAGGAAATGCTACTTTCGGGTCGATCTGTAACAGAAATAAATCCAAAAAATTATTCACTCGAATCAAATTTTTAAATCAACAAAATTTAAACTAAAATCAAAATTTCACAATTTTATTTTTTATTTGTCATTATTTTTCCCATCCATAATATACATATACTATATATTTTATATTATTTTATATTTATTTCCGGGGATAAATGCAAGCAATAATTTCAATACCATAAAACTGTGAAAAATGACGAACAAAAAAAATTGTATAATTAATATAAACAAAAATTTCAATCAAAATAATTATCTAAAATATATTCTTTTAATTTTCGTCTTGCAATAACAATTTCCAGTGAAGCCTCAAGAGCGAGACATTCGTGCCCTTTTCTTATTGAATTAAAAACCGAAAGTTTCCAGAAACTTTGGGAAATTTCCCTAGACATCGACTGCCCCCCAGTTCATCTCCATCCATCACCGAACTTATCTCCCCTAGACCTGGAAATCAACCGAATATCAAAACTAGAACCCAAAAACCTCAGAAAAAAAGAATGAAATTCAAAACATTTTTTTTTTCTCGAAGTCAGCAATTCCCCGAAGCGCCTCCATACGTTTCCGTAGAAAACTTCTCCCCCAACACACATCATACTAGTCCTCCCAGCGGACCCCGGGAAAACTTACCAGATATATCACAAAGCTATCGAGAAATTTAATTGGCCCCAGGAGTTTTATCCCCGAGTACTCGTGTGATGCAGTCAGTCATTGGGGTATAATTTCACGCATTTTCGATTAAATCCTCTTAACGGCACTTGTGGGTGTAAGAAATCCTCACCCTCAAAGTCCTGCCATGTATTTTATCGGGGATATTTTTTTAATTATTTTTTAATTTATTGTTGTTATCCAGTATTATTTTATTCCACTTGGCTCTTTTGGCTCATCAATACTTGGGCACTGCCAGCTCGTACCTGTCGGCAAACCTCGGCCCCACCTCCACCCGCCAATCGACTCCGATCTCGGGGATGATTTATGGTAATCTTTCTGCTTCCGTGCCGGTCGTTCATCCTAACATCACCCATCCCCTACGGCAACTCTATCGTACACCAATACACGAAAATGATGCCGTGTTTATTGCCACACCCCTCGATATATGATCGATCCCCCCCC